TGGGCGCACGTTGAGGGACGAGAATGATGTGTTGGGGTCTGTCGGCGCAGTGATTGCGTTTTGCGACGGCGCGGGAAGGACGGTCTTTGGTGCTTGTTCGGGGACTGCGGCGCGTTTGAATCGCGAAGGGGCCTGGATGGTAGAAACAACAGCCTTGAGCTCTTCCTCGTCATCATCGTCGTCTTCATCGATGATTTCGGCAGCTGGCGGCTCGGTCCTCCGTCTCTTGCGGGAGCCGGGGCTGTCAAGGTAGTCGGACTCGGATTCGGCGCCGGAGGAGTTGGCGGACGAGGAAGCCGGATCCTCGTCGTCGGCCGCGGGGCCCGGCCGTCGGGGAGCTGCGGAAGACGGCATTTGAGGTGATTGATCACAAATATGTCGGCTTCGACAGCAACCTGAGACGTTATGCAGCTTGTTCGCGGTGGACGGTGGTGACGGGTGGACGGCGGCGCTGCACCAGCGTATGAGAATTTTCCTTCAGGGTCCCTCCAAAATTTTTGGACTGACGGAGCCAGAGCCAAAAAGCTTGGGCGGATTCAGAACGTTGCCAGCTGCCGGGATTGGGTGGGCAGGCGGGGTGATGCAGGGGCTTAGCGTGGAAGAACCCAATGGGAAGCCAGCAACTGCCCCGCATTGACCGGGTAGACGCGCGCTTGGGGAAACGAGCCACTGAAGCCGGATGAGAAGTGATCACCAGCCACTCACAGGGCGCCAAAAGCGTTGCAACGAAGTCTTCGACCACTCAGACGCCCACCTCAGAGGGTAGGTTTGCAGCGACGAGCGACTGTCATCTGTTGGTTGCAGATTTCATCTGGAGCTGCAATGCCTCTGGCCCCCCGGGTTGCAACCTGTGCGTTACGCGACGGCGCCGCATGGATCGACCTGACATGATGAGTCGAGGCAAGGCCTTTCCACAATGCGGTGCAGTCCTTTTGGCGTCATGTGTGAGCTAGCAGGCTACCTACAAATGTTGGACGGCCAGGCACAAATACTTTGCTGGCAACCCCAGGGCTGAGGCTGATGACAGCATAGCGTTGCTTCCCGTCCAGGGATGCCGCCAGCTCGACTTCATTTTCCGCCCTATGTGCTTGGCAGACTCCAGGTACCCGTTCCTGGACACTGTGTGCTTATGCCCCCAGACCCCGTGCATAGCATGAGCCTCGGACATGGACGACTCGGCCGCCGCCGCGGCGCCCATGATCGCATTGGCGTCTTTGAAGCCAGGTGAGAGTGAGGCACGTACCCTACCCGGCAGTGCGTTAGGTGTGTGTGTGTGTGTGTGTGTGTGTGTGATGCTGGTGGAGAGGATTGACGAGGCATGTAAAGCAGAAAGGAATCGGGTGTCGATCACTGACGTCTCGGGGCGCACCTACTGCTGCCCAAACCGTGTAAGCGCTTGTCCAATAGGGAATCTCGAGGAACATTGTCGTTTCTCGTATCAAGCGAGTGCACCTTGGTGTACCGTCTGACTGTCGGTGAGTTTGAGCTCTCATCTGGGTCCCGGTACAGCGGATTCGACAGATGGATGATGTGATGTGACGGCCACGGCAACGCCTTGCCATCACCCAAGACGGACTGCGAAGCCGTGTGGTAAGGCAGACAACTCAAAGAACGGAGATTCAGATTCAGGCATCAGCAAATCCCCGAACCAGGCAACCTGTGCAGCTTGATCGCCGAACAGCGGTGCACCATGTACGTGTCCTGGACAGGGCTTCATAAAATCGGGCCTTCGTCCGAAGGTTGTCGGGATCCAGCTGCGATGCGGTGAGGAAAATGAGTTGCGCGGCGTCCAAACACCGCAGACACGCCGCCGCCGCCGCCTACCGTGTTGGCCGCGTTGGGTAAGAAAAAAGGCAGAAAAAAAAAGAGAAGACGATAAAAATTTGTGGTGTTTCGGACCCCAAAGGATTCCTTGTCCCTCCCGTCCGTATCTGGCTCCCCCTCCATCTCGGGGCCCCCTCCTATTCGTGCCGCAGGACCGGTGGAGAGGATGTTGGCGCGGTGGTGCTGCAGACGGTCTGCATCCTCCATCGGTCGCGTCTATGACTCTCTGCAATCAGCTTACTGGAACCTGCCCAGAAGGATGGATTGCTGTGCCGATGGTCTGTAGTGTTGGGTCGCAATGGCAGTCACAATTCCTGAATGATTTGGAATGGAAACACGGCAGCAGCCAGTGCAAGAACACGGAGGGTAGAAGGCTTGCCAACACAGGTGCCGAGGGGAGCTCCGTGTGGTGCCCCATCCTGTCCCCTTCTCCTTGCCGTCCCTCCCTCCATGTCCACGCCGTTTGTGTCTCTCTCAGTCCCCTCACCTCGTCTACCGCCGCCGGAGATGCCCCATTTTCCAGACAAAACGACATTGTCAACTGGCTAATGCGAGTTTCATCGACACGCTCTGGACCACAATGGCAATTCTGTGGATGGAGATTGGCTGCCGAAAGCCCGCATTAATTTGGACCCCAATCCCGTCTTGGTTTATCGGTAGCAAGCAGGCAGGCACTGTGCAGTAGTCAAAAGGTTTCCCGGTTGTTAATTAGTGTATGCGCGAGCGAGTGCGTCGTGTGAGAGTGTGACGGGAGTGATTGTGATTGATGGCTGGCTGCCAACAATTTGTCTGGCTAATTATCGAGGGGCGGCGAGGAGGGGCCTGATAGCCAATCCAGCTGACAATGCTCAAGAGGGTAAAGCCATCGTCCGACGACGTCTGCTTTGATTGAACAGGCGGGATATCCATATTGTCCTGTCGATCGACACCCCATGGCCTCTGCTTCGACTAAAGAGTCTTGATGCATCGGGGGCGGCCCCCGCTTGGTGCAGCAGACACAGGCGAGAGCCAGGGCGGGATGCAGGACGCAAGACGCAAAGGACAGCAGCTCAAGACTGCTTGACGACGGACGACAGTCGTCAGCGACATGGGAGGCAGGCTCGAGGGCACAAGCAGCGAGCTTTGGGTGCAGGGCAGGGCATCGAATGGCAGCCCAAGACACAGACGACACACCACCAACTGCAGGACAACCCCTGTCGTCTCTCTCACGCCCCCATGCTGGTTGATGCATCGCAAGTGCCCTCCCAAATCTCGTCGCCCGAGAGCTGCGTGTTACTGGCCAGACTCGGGGTCACTGTGCACCCAGAGCCAGCCTTGGATGAAATGGGCGACTCACCACACAGGCGATGAGTGAACATGACACTAAGCTTTGTTGGCGAGGTGGCTGCGTTGCGGTGGTTTCGATCAACAGGTACCTGACGCGTCTCGAGGCGAGAAGTTGAGGCAAGGAAAGTCAATGTACTGGATGACTGTTGACTTGAGTCGGAACAGCGGCATTGCTTTTGTTGTCTCGTTTTCGTTTTTCCGCCGCAGAGCTGCTGTTCTCTCCCGGCAGGACGTTATGCGTACAGACATATCCGTGGGTGGATTGTTTCCGGTAGACCTGCTCCTGTTGGCTCGTCAGGTCAGGCTGTCCTGTCCAGGTCTCATATGTCGTCCTCTTGGACCAGCACGGCGATTTCGGTCCATGCTTCAAGGTCGATGCCGTTCCTGAAAATACCAAGGTGGGAATGGCAAAACCTCAGACGACTCAACGCAAGGGACTCCGTAATGTGGCGCGCGTAATCGTCCCGTATGGCACACTTTGGAGAGAAAAAGAGACAAGAAAATTCAATGACCAAGCGCGGTCCTCTTCTGATTCCAAGCTTCATCCTTTTACTCGTCGCTCTGGTGCCGGTTGACTTTGGGTTCGTGCTCTCGAGGCGACGGCAGGTACAGCCCAAGTGACCTGAACCTGGCTAAGGTAGGTAGGTACCTTAAGGTATTGATGTAAGGCGCAATAAAGGCAATGGAAGAGCCCTTGGCAGGGTGATGGAAGGCCCCGACGGGATGCTCGAACTCTGTAATAGCAGCTAGAGCATGACGGACGTAGGTGCAGATGGGATGAATACCCAAGGATGATTAAGGTACACCTTTCTTGGGCAATTACGTGTGTTGTGTTGCGTTGCGCGCGGTGCAGCATTCAGCATTCACACAACCGCAGCAGGGCATTGTCATCTCAGGCAGGCTTCCTGGTGTCGTCGATTGGAACTTGGCCTTGGAATTAGCGCCCAAGCTCAAGTACCTCGTCCCTCGTCCCGCCCGCCCCCCGCCTTTTTTCACCCACTTGAATCCCACTCTCAGGCGCTCCCAAAGACTGCGACCTTGGACCTTGGTCTCGCCACAACTCGTCGGGTCCCTCTGGAGTCTGTCTGGTCTGGTCTGGTCCCCCCTCCCCTCCTCCCCGTCGGTCGGTCCCTGTCGTCCTGCTTCGGCCTGCTTGCTGCTGGTCCCTCACCAAGTCCCTCCAAGGAAAAGAAACCCCCTCTTCCAGACCCCAGTCCCAATACCAGACGTCGGGCCTGAAGACCATAGAAACCGCGTACGCATCCACGGCCGACTGCATTTCTTCCACCCTCTCACCACCTTCCAAGGCCAGCTCCAACACTGTCCGTTCCGATTTCCGACCTCGACCATTATTATTACGGTGGGCAGATACCGAGACCTACCTCCATTTCAGCCTTGATCCGTCCCGAGGCGACGCCTAGCGGGAAACGCACGCTGCTTATCGTATCGCCCTTTTGGTCGTCAAAGTCGTCGTCGTTTCTTCCTTGCATGTTTCCCGTCTTCCACTCGCTCCGACACCCATATTCACGAAACCGCCTAAACGGCCGACCTCGACGGGTACTAACGCATTTTGCCCTGAGCCAGAGGAACCACCCGTCCGCGAATCCCATTGTCTAGCCCCAACTGCTACGTCAGCTTTTCCTCCCACAATCCCTCGAGCACGCTACCTTAGCTCTCGTCTTTCCGCCCGTGCCCTGTGCCGCAGCGACCACACTTCGACCTACATCCAACTACGTCGTCGGGTTGCTTGGCTTCGGCCCTTTTGCGACTTTGTGGAATCCTCTTGTGTATAACCCTCCCCAGCTTCAACAACAACCATCTTCTGGCCGCCCCAACATCACATCGCCGTAATGGCCGACCAAAACTCTTCACAACCACAGACCATGGACCCTCCTCAGCAGGTAAGCTTCTCGCCAGCATCCATCTCACCAACCCTCGACATTCACGCTGACTGACACCACGCAGGCTCCAATCCCTTCTCCCCTCTCTACGCCCGGATCCGTCCCAATGATGAACTCTCCCGTTCCTCTTCTTCGTCCTGCCATCCCCGGATCGAGGCCCGGCGGCGGCGCCCGCACACCGAGACTCGGTCTTGCGATCCCACCTTCGCCAAATGCAAAGCCCGTCGGCGGCACTGCGCCCCAACCCGTAAACTCTCGACCTCCTCTACCGACCCTTCACCTTGCAACCCCCATGGGCAGCCAGACAACCCCCTATGAGCAGCCCCAAAGGCCAGTCGGGGTGGGCCAGTCAGCCAGCGGTGGCAGCGAGAGCAGCGCGGCCCACTCTAGGTCAGGAAGCTTCGGCCCTCTGGATGGCAGGGCCAGCAACCCCACCTCGGCCGGATCTCAGTACTCGGCATTGTCGTTTGCCTCACAGTATGGTTTCGGTGCGCCACCGAGGGGAACGCCCGACCCGTCGTCTGCTGTTGGCTCCATATACTCGGAAAGAAGCGACGGCGGCGTGGGCATGGAAAGAGATGGTAGCTTACAAGGTCTGGAGGGCTTTGACAAGCTCTCTCTGGAGCGCGGCAGGACGTTGGATGTTGAGGAACTCGACGCAGATGGGTGGAGGGTCGCAAGCTTGGAGAAGAGAATCGAAGAACTCGACTCTCTCGGCGAGGGTGCCGGTGGTGCCGTCACAAAAGCCAAGCTGAAAGGCGGCAAGACCATCTTCGCCCTGAAGGTGCGTAGATATGGACACCACACTTGAACTAGACTGACACTCGCAGATCATCACCACGAATCCCGATCCCGACGTTAAGAAGCAGATCGTGAGAGAGCTCGGTTTCAACAAGGAGTGCGCGTCGGAGCACATTTGCAGGTACTACGGCGCTTTCGAAGACAACACTACTGGCACCATCTCGATTGCCATGGAGTTCTGCGAGGGTGGCTCTCTCGACAGCATCTACAAGGAGGTCAAGAAGCTTGGAGGTCGCACAGGCGAGAAGGTGCTCGGCAAGATCTCCGAGGGTGTCCTGCGCGGTCTGACGTACCTGCACGGCATGCGCATCATTCACCGAGATATCAAGCCTTCCAACATCTTGCTATGCAGGAACGGAGACGTCAAGCTGTGCGATTTCGGTGTTTCAGGAGACTTTGGAACAAAGGGCGAGGCAAACACCTTCATCGGTACAAGTTACTACATGGCCCCGGAGCGAATCACTGGCCAATCATACACCATCACATCCGACGTCTGGTCGACCGGCGTCACCCTCTTGGAGGTGGCACAACATCGCTTCCCCTTCCCCGCCGACGGCACCGAGATGCAGCCTCGCGCCGGCCTTATCGATCTTCTTACGTACATTGTGCGGCAGCCCATCCCCAAGCTCAAGGACGAGCCGGATGCCAACATCTTTTGGAGTGACAACTTCAAGTACTTCATCGAGTGCTGGTGAGTATACCTCGAGAAACATTTGAGCCATGACTAACACCTTGAAGCCTAGAGAAGGAGTCTACCCGGAGAGCAAGCCCTTGGAGAATGCTTGAGCATCCCTGGATGGTCGAAATGCGGTCGAAGCGTGTCAACATGGCCAAATACCTCGCGCAGGTATGGGGCTGGGAGACCAAGTAGGCTTCGTTCAGAAGCGACCGAGTCGGCAATGCGTGTTTCGGTGCACTCACCATTGCCGAATTTGCATATGTGTCTGGATCTTTACACTCGACTGCGTTGCTCGTTGGTCTACAGAGGCACACGAAAGCAACGCGTATTGAGTTAAACTGCAACAATCAGAGGCGAGACGAGCCGTTAACGGCAGCCACAACAAGGAATTTAACATCACACCGAACCTAGAAATCCAGCGATCCACCAGCAAGAGAAGGGGCAGATTTTTCACCATTAGTAAACACGGCACGGCACAGGACTGCCGATGTCACCGCCTTTGAGGGAACAGGGCTATTTGGACACGAGTCGTGGTATCCGAGACGGTCGGGAGGAGCGGGGATATCTTCGCACCAGACTGTTGTGTATTGGGTGGTTGTCAGCATGGCATTGTTATCATGACACTGGAGCGATGGCATGTTAAGTATGATACAATTGAGAAAAAGTACACAAATGAATTTTTCAACATTTTCCTTGGCCACGGAACGGGGGGAGTCTGGTCATTTTTGCAAAGGCTAGGGCGTTGTACATATCTTATTTCACCCAACAAATCTCTTCAGGGGTATCTAGTCTACGGCACGGTTAGATGCAAAGTGGGATTGATGAAAGGCCTCTTGAAACGTTTCCTCCAGTGCTCTCTTTCATGACTTTGCAGGGGCTGTCATGACCTCGGACTCGTCGACGCCCATCAGCTCACGCAGGGCGACTGTCGCGTAGGCGCTCTTGGGGAGCTGGAACGTCACCACAACGGCCGTCTTTTGGACCGCCGCCGGTTCCGGCTCGGCTGCCGCGGCATCCGTCTCCTGGGCCTGCGCCGGCTTGTCTTCAGCCTCGGGCTTCTCCTCGGGCTGAGCAGCCGCAGCATCCTCCATCGTCTCGTCGGGCTTCACCTCGGTGTCTTCGTCGGTCTTGGCCTTCTTGTTCGCCTGCTCGTCGTCCCCATCGGTGCGGCCGCGCTTCTTGGACGAGGGCGGCTGCTTGGCGCGGATGCGGTCCATGTCCGTGGGATGCATCTGCTCGTTGTCATCCGTGTAGGCGCGCACCTCGAAGCGGGGCTCCGCGAGGAAGCGCGCGGTAAGCTTGCGGTAGGCGCCCGGCAGGCTGAACTCGCGGTGGCGGCGGATCATCTTCTCCGGGTCGAGGTCGCCGTTCTCCTTCATGAAGGTCTTGTAGAAGTCGCCCAGCGCGTTGGTCGGGTAGAGCACGGCGTGGCCCGGGGACGGGAGGATCACGTCGTGGATGGTGTAGCGGCCCGAGGCGGCCTCCTCGGCGGTCAGCGCACGGGCGTCGGCGGTGTCGTCGTCAGCCTCTTCCTCGGCGGTCGCGTCGGCCTGGGGCTTCGCGTCGGCGAAAACGAGGTCGCCCTCGACGACCTTGTCGCCGTACAGGCGCCAGCGGTGGCTGGCAGCGTGGTTCCAGACGTAGGACTGGTAGGCGTGGAGGTACATGCTGCGCAAGCCGCGGGTGATGCTCGTCAGAGCGCCGATGAAGTCCCGGCGGGAGGTGGCGCGGCCGAGGTGGCGGATGACGCTGGCCTCGGCGTTGAAGCGGCGCGGGAGGATCTTCATGGCGTCCTCCTCGGAGCCGCCCTGGCGGAAGAGCATGCAGGCGTGGTGGCGGTTGAAGTCGTCGCGCTGGTGGCCCTCCGCGGGGACCTCGCCGCCGGCGGCGCGCTTGGCGATGTCCTCGTCGTAGGAGATGATGGCGTTGATGGCGGACTCGAAGTCTTCCTGGAGGATCATGCGGCCGACCTCGTGCGTGCCGACGGCGTGCGTGCCGAAGCGCTGGTGGCCAAAGTAGTTGATCCAGCCGCGGGAGTGCATGCTCTCCATGGCGGCCTTGACCGAGGCCTCGATCTTGGACTGGCGCTCGTCGTGGGGGAGGTCGGGGGACCCGGCGACGGCGCAGTCCTTGAGGGCGATGACGAACTCGTTGCCGGTGTGCGCGCCGAGGTGGATGGGCGTGGTGGCGTAGACGTAGTCGCCGGTGGTGACGCCCTTGAGGCGCGAGTTTGCGCGCATGAGGTTGTCGGCGCGGACGTGGCGGACGGAGCACCGCTGTGTCGTCGCGGCGCGGCGGTCCTTGGTGCCGGCGGTGCCGATGGACTGCGGCTTGACGCGCAGGGCGCGCGCGATCTGGTTCGTCGCCTCCATGGTGTCGCGGTTCTCCTTGTAGAGCGTGAAGTGCAGGTACTCGCCCTCACCTGGGGCCTTGACCTTGGGCTCCTGTTTCTTCTTCTGCTGGGGGCCTCCGCGCACGCCCCTGCCTTTGCCCCTCGGCGGGGAGATCTTGGCGACGATGGCGCCGGTTGGGTCGGTTGTTGTGTCGATGACGGAGTTGAAGATGCGGCGGACGGCCTGGTGGAGCTGCGAGCGCTGGTCCTTGTCGTCCATTGCGGGTGAGGTGGCGGCCTCGACCTTTGCGTTCTTGTCGGCGGAGATGGTCTGGAACATTGCGACGAGCTGCTTGGCGAAGTCCTCATTTGTGAGGGAGGTGAGGGTGGCGATGTCCTCGGGAGAGATCTCGGGGATCGTTGGCGCTGGGGCTTCGCTGTTTTCGCCGTTCTCGGGCTGTGGTTCGGGCTTCACTTCCTCCTGCTTCTCCTCTGCGGCCGGCGGCGGAGGGGTGGGCTCCTTGGGGGGCTGCGGGAGCCGTGTTTCTGTGAGATGGAGGACGGAGCCATCTTTGTTGATCTCGTAGACTTGAAAGTCGGTGTATCTGGGCTTGGTTAGTGACGGGTGAGTTTAGAGGTTGGGATTGCGCACCTCTTGCGCATGTCGCCGGTCCAAGCAGTCATGCTCGGGGCGATGCGCTCTGTGATGCCGAGAGACGCATCGAGGCGTGTGCCGTTAGCACGGCGCGTTTCGGTCGCCATATTGATGTTATGATACCAAACAAGATTTGCGATGTAATTGCAAGCAATTTCACTTGTATCTCGATAAAAGTAAGTGAATTGGGCTTGTAAGAGTTGAGATGTCTGATGGAAAGCGTCGCGGGGCCAACAGGCATATTTTCAGGAATTGCCGGCAGAAACTGGCGAGTATGAATGAAATGGCAGGCGGTGTGCGATGATTCCGCCGATCTTGGTTAAAAGAAGAAAGCGGTGAAGCGAATCTCATTGAGCCACTTTTCATATGAGATCCCACGTCTCACTAAATCTCATCGCAATGTTTTAATTCAAGGTACTTTTCATTTTCGTTTAATGCCATTACTCAATCCGCCTTCAGATTCAAAATCTCAATCGCGTTTCCGCCCATGATAGCCTTCGCTTGCTCACTTCCTTCACCGACAGCAGCTGCCACAGCATCCGCGTTCATGCTCACGCTCTCCCACTCACCCTGCTCATCAGTCGTCAACGGAGGGAAGAAGGGGTGATCTGTACCAAACATGAGCCTGTCGGCTCCGCTCGCGTCGATGGCCGCCTTCAATCCAACTTCGGAGTAGATGACTGCATCGAGGTAGATCTGCTCCTTGAGCACGTCCCAGATCTTCCGACGGCCCTTGCCGACCTTGCCCTCGCGCACCAGCTGTCCGTCGTGCAGGATGCAACTCTCAATTCTGCCGGCGAGGAAAGGCAGTGTGCCGCCGCTGTGAGCAAGCAGCATACGCAAGTCGCGCACCTCATCGAAGACGCCCGCGAGATACATGCGCGCCACGGCGATGGTGGTTTCCATGGGGAAGCCCAGCGCCAGGGGCAGGACATGGCCGTACTCGTTGCTCGCCCTCGGGCCCCAAACATCGTTGGGCAGGCCATAGTGCGGGTGCAAGAAAATGGTCAGACCGGCGGCGGCAATGGCCTTGAAGATGGGCAGCAGGTTTGGGTCATCGAGGCCCTTGCCCAGTCCAGACGTGCCTAGGATGATACCACGGCAGTACTTGACCCCCTTGACGTGGTTGATGGCTTCGAGGATCGTCTCGAGCGACGCGGTCAGGGGAAGGGCAGCGAAGAAGAACAGACGCCCGGGATGCGCAGCGCACATGCGGTCAAACTCCTCGTTGACATCCCGCGCCATGGGGCCGGACTCCGAGGCGTCGATAAAGTCCAGCCATGGGTTCGCCAGGGAAACGACCGAGATGTCGATCTTGTGTGTGTCCATGAAGTGCACCTTCTGCTCCAGCGAGGCATAGTGAGAGGTCAGCGGCCGGCCCGGGGGCTTTGCCGTGGCATCCTTGGTGGCTTCGTCGAGGGCCTGCTGCTCCGAGGCGAGGAGGATAAGGCGCGGATCGGGGTCCTGCGGAAACCGGCGGACAACAGGAATGGTGGTTCGAGACTCGAGAATCTTGATGTACGACGGGGGGTACATGTGCGTGTGGATGTCGACCACCCTCATCGGTGTTGAAGAGGCCATTCTGTCTTTTTTTCGCCAGATGCTCAAAGATGTTTGAATTCTTTGTTGTTTGGTGAGGTGCGGGGTATGAAGGGAGCGCCTTGGATGTGTTCTGTGCTTGATGTGAGTCTTGGGCTGGAAGATTGAAGATGCGACGTTGGAGGTTGCCGACTTACAAATGGTCGAGGCTCAATCGCGAGTCGTGAAGGTTCTCAGCTAACACGCAATTGCAGGAAAGAGAAAAAGACACAACGTCGAGTCTTTGAGACGAGTATTTCTCAAGCGCTGAGTATTCTCGTGTTCCTGAGTTAAGTACCAGCTACCCGAGGGCTATGTCTTTACAGGAAGGTGATGAAGTTGCATCCGAAATGCACGTCTCCGCATCAAGTCGCCCACCCCACACGCGGGCGTCTTGCTCCAACTGCGCTGGCTGCCGATTGTCCTACCCCGCCGTTATCTTCGCCGGTCCTTTGCGCCGCGCCGGCCTTATCTTTCCTTCGTCTTTTTGGCGGGGTAACGCCACTCTGTTTTATTGTCTTACACGTTGGTATTATGAGCACAGCGTAGGAGGTCTCCGATGGCCTTGGTCGTGCGACTCGCCCGGTTCGAGCCGACCTATGACCCCTCAGGGATTTGTATGGCTTACTGCTTCCTCCGTCACCTCTTTGCCGGGATCAGCAAGGGGCTTTGGCCTGCTGGACTGATTAGATGCCCGGGCTGAGGTCAATGCCGGCCATGTGGTTGGTAGCCTGAACTCGCACTTTCACAAGGGTCCTGTTGTATTACCAGACGAATATAAGTCACTCAAATGCCCTACCGCACGGATCTCGCTCGTGAACCTTATCGCGACGCCGTGGAATCTTCTACGTCTCAGTCCGAGTAATGGTATCTGATACACTTGACCACTGACATCTCATCAACTGTTTGCAATCTCGCGGTGCTCATTCTCATTCTCAGCTGTTCATAGCTAAATCGCAATGGCGGCCACCGCGGTAGACAAGGAGGGCCTCTTCATTCCCGTGAGTTCGCCAAGCATCTCCGACTTCACTTCTCACTCACACACCCCAGCTCATCGACTTCTCCGCCTTCCTCAGCGGCGATAACGCAAAGCGCACCGAGACCGCCAAGCAGATCCTCGACGGTTTCCAAAACGCCGGCTTCATCTACCTCAAGAATGTCCCCATCAGCCAGGAGCTCCGCGCTGCCACCTTTGCCAAGTCGGCCGACTTCTTCGCCCAGGACGACGATGCAAAGACCGCCGTCGGCTGGACCACGCCCGAGGCCAACCGCGGGTACTCTGCCCCCGGCCGCGAGAAGGTCAGCCAGTTCATGGACGCCGCCTCGGTCGGCAAGGAGCGTGCCGGCAACCCAGACCTGAAGGAGAGCTACGAGATTGGCCGCGAAGGTGAGCCCACGCACCCGAACCAGTGGCCCGTGGAGAAGGCGGGCAGCCCCGTGGACGGATTCAAGGCCCAGATGCTTGACTTCTTTGGGCAGTGCAAGAACCTCCACGTAGAGGTCATGCGCGCCATTGCCGTTGGCATGGGCATCGATGAGCACTACTTTGACGGGTTTACGGATGTCGGCGATAACACGCTTCGTCTGCTGCACTACCCGTCAGTCAACCCTGAAGTTTTCAAGATCAACCCCGGCCAGGTTCGTGCCGGAGCTCACAGCGATTATGGCTCCATCACCCTGCTCTTCCAGGACGACCGGGGCGGTCTGCAGGTGAAGAGCCCCAGCGGCCAGTTTGTGGATGCCACGCCCATCCCCGGAACGGTGGTCGTCAACGCGGGTGACTTGTTGGCGAGATGGAGCAACGACACAATCAAGAGCACGATCCACCGTGTCGTCGAGCCCCCAAGGAAGCCGGAAGATGGATCCGAGTACCCTCCGCGGTACAGCATTGCGTGAGTCAGATGACCAAGGAAAGTGAATGAGATGCTAACGATGAGAAGCTACTTTTGCAACCCTAACTTCAAGAGCCACATTGAGGCCATTCCGGGTACTTACGCAACAGAAGCGGAGAAGAAGTACGAGGGTATCAACAGCGGGCAGTACCTTGTGCAGAGACTGGCTGCCACGTACTAGGAACCTTGGTGTTTTCATTAGCGATTTACTAAAAGCGAATTGATCGTGTTTACCAAGGGTGATCTGCAGGTCAATTGACTAATATTGTTTTCTACCGAAGAAGGATCAAAGTTGTATGCCAAAAACATGATTGAGACTGATCCGAAGCATACTTAGAGATGATCAATCATGGTTTACTGTACTTCCGATCGCTCGTGCTTTGACTTTGCTCGGTCATGTTTTGTACATCATCCTAGTCAGTTACACGCTGATAAAGCATTGTGGTTCTCTGCCTAAGTCTGTATAACTCGGGTGGCTCTTCGGGCGTGGGCTCATCTAGTTTTGGCCACCATTTCCGTCAATAGGCTATATAATGACATAACCAGGAGAAGTATAGACACATTCAATGCAAATACACGGGAACGCAGCCAAGTCTTGACCAGCCGTTCCCTCCAAGGCGTACCAAGAGTCCTAGGTCTTTGACCCCAGATGGAGATCGAGAGTAGATGAAGGCCTAGCAATGCAGTATTGTCCTCGCCAAGCCGATAGCAGCGAATGAAGATGAACACGTTGATAAACGTGAAACAAACTACAAACGCCAGGTCCAAAGGCCAGTAACGAAATGCGACTTCGTACTCAGATGTATCCACGTTCGACACATGGATGGCGTGTGCGGCATGTCGAGCTTTGAGGCGTATTGCAAAGTAAGAGAGACTAGATCCGGCCAGCACAGCAATTTCTGCTTTGCTGACCGTACTGCTGAGCAATGCCCAAGAGAGAATCGTAATGGGGACGAAATAGAATTCTCGCCAACTAAACATGCAACTTTCGTAGACGTAACTGCTTGCAGCGTCCGCATTCATCCCGGCCCCAGCAAAAAGTCCTTGTGAGGGTGCTCTGAAGATCCGATTTTGGATTGGCAAACATGATGGATAAGAGGAGGAGATCGTGACAATGAACATTTCGTGCTTCAGGAACGCATCGCGTCTCACTGTGACACTCCGAGGTCCATCCGGGCACACAACCAAGTCGCCTGCTTTGGATGTATCGAAGTTCTGTGACATGTCTTCGAGAGACTGGTCCTTTTTCTTGGCGACAATGTGACAGACGAAAGGTGGTGGAACCATAGTATGCGAGAATATTGCGCGGATCAAGGTCCGCCGCTCGAGGACGACAACGAACCCATCATCTTCACCGTCGTCCTTTGAGTAGTGCAAGAGAATGCGTTTCCAAGTCTGGTCAGCACCTGAAACGGGGCAAACGCTGCTCCATTGCCTCTTGTCCGCCTCTGTCGGTATTACTTTCACCAACCGCTCCGGTAAATCTGGTGCAGCGTCGAGACGGACAAACCCACACTTGATATCCGTATTCCAGATCGGTTGCTCAAGACGATGATCCTGCTTGTCCTTCCTTATGTAGATGGTACGATACTGCATGCGCCGTGTAGTGCTCCAGGGGAGATCCAATAAGCATGGGGGCTGCTTTGGTCGGATGTACTCATCACTAATAGCGGTCTGGAACAGAGGGATCGCAACGACTTTTCTGAAATCCGTCCCAATCTGACAGTCAAGCAGACCGTAGGCAAGCTTCTCAAGTTGGAAAAGAGGAAGCGTGATTCGCAGGCCTCGGCTCGTCATTTCAGGCACCGAGCTTGTTCCACCCATCGGTATGGCGGAAATGTTTGACCAGCAAGCGAAGTCTCTGGGACTCTGAGCGAGTAGCCTGTGATACTCAGGTCGATGTGAGACTTCTCGGTAGTACTCCTTGGAGTACTGAGTTTCTTGAGGGTCGGCGGATAGCAGGTGTATAACGCTATAATAAATCCGGAAACGCTTGTAGAACACATCCGAAGGTTCCTCTTTCAAGGTAGTGTCCAGCGGGCTCCACGCAAGAACGGATTCGTCAGTGTTGAGCTTTAGGAGCTCTAGCTGGAGCCTCTCAAATGCGCGATCGCCTTCTCCATAGAGAAGCGGCATGTTTACATTGAATATTCCCAGAAGCGCGTACGCCCTATCCTCGATCCTGGTAGTCTCTCTATAAGCTGCCCACGACATGCGGACGGCGATGCTCGCTGAACGAAAATCTTGTTCCCTACGAAGGTAAGAAATGGGGATATTTGTGATGGCATTGATATCAGCAGCTAAGGAGGAGCGGTCGCCAAATTGCCTCCAAAATTTGTCGTAGAACAGCACACGTTTGGGAGCGAGAAGCTCTTGCAAAGTCCAGCCTCTCGTGAACCAAAGGCTCTCCTTGAATTCGCCATCAACATCGGGCTGGCCCTCGTCCGCTGGACCTCTGCCTACGTCGTCAAGGTAGGCGTAACAAGTTGACGCATTCTCGTACCACCGGAACATAGAATTGATGGCTTCAGAGAGTTCAGCGCTGCTCGTCTTGTCGATGCAACAGGCGTCGATCCAGACATAGTCGAAGCCATGCTCCGCAGCCAAGACGCAGAAGCCGTTGACTTTGGCATATCCTCTCATGAGTTGATAAGCTGGAGCGCTGAGGTCTTGGAGAGTGACCTCTTCTTCGCCCCATCGATGAGAAAGTATCGCATACTTCGGGATGTTGTTGAAATACTGCTCCAACGTTCTGGTCTTGACGTTGAGAAGACGCATTTCCCATATCTTGAAGTGTTGAAGTTTCGAAGTTGCAATCGATGCAATGGAAGCGGCGTCAGCTACAGGTATACGCACTTTATAAAGTGGCTGGCTCTTGCAGCCTGCATACCTCATCAGGTGACAGGATTAGCATTGATTGATTGGTTTTGGGATGAGCTACCCGCTCGTTGCCTGCACGCTGTGCCGTAGGTACGCCATAGTGCCAACGGAGGAACTCAGAAACGGCTGCAAGTATCCAATCTGTTGACTCTCATGGTCAAGTTTATTGTCAAAACACTAATGAAGACAGACTCCCACAGTAACGTCATTCTACTCCAAGATGAAGGAGAGACATGCTTGATCGAAGTTGCCCTTCAGAAGGGAGTCACATGGGTGGGGTGGCGATGCGGGGGCAGTCGTTCATGCACTTTCGCACTGTCCTCGTACTGTCAGCCGACAAGCCCGTAGGCTGAAGCTATGCCAGCTGTCCCGAACATCCAACTTAAAGCAACCGTGGATGGCGATCACAAGATGAAGAAGACATTACTTCTTGTGTTTATCCACGGCTTCAAAGTATGTTTTCCTCGTCGGGGGGACTTCAACATGCAACCAGCTTCTGACACTTCACAGGGAGGTGACGACACCTTTGGGGACAAGGATGGCTTTACAGAGCAGCTCCGGGCCCAGCTCGCCGCCGCCCTCCCCAAAATCAATGTAAAGAATCTCGTGTACCCAAAGTATGAGACGCGCGGAGATCTGGGAGACTGCGTCAGCCGTTTCCGCGACTGGTGAGTTCCCTCGCTCCGTAGTATGCCAGGGTCGGTCACTGACACCCAGACCAGGCTCCTAGAAAAGGTCATCGACCTCGAGGTCGCAAACGCCACCCCGTCGCCGACGGTCGACCCGTCCGTTAGGATCGTGCTGATCGGCCACTCGATGGGCGGCATCGTGGCCGCCGAGACCGTCGTCGGGCTCACCTCCGAGCACCCCATCTACTCCGAGGACGGCGTCGAGAAGTCGGACAACCCGTCCACCTTCAACGGGCTCATGTTCCCCTACGTCCAGGGCGTGCTCGCCTTCGACACCCCCTATCTCGGCATCTCACCCGGAGTCGTCGCCCACGGCGCCGAGGGCCACTACAACACCGCGTCCGCCGCCATGACGCAGCTCAGCGGCCTCGGGACGGCCATCTGGGGCGCGAAGCAAGCCGCCTCTCCCGCGCAGAACAAAGCTCCCGTCGCGGCGCTTCCAGCACCACCAGTCAAGAAGGATCAGCAGCAGGCTGGCTGGGGATGGGGCAAGATTGCCATGGTGGCCGGCAGCGCGGCTGTTGCTGCGGCGAGCGCCGGGGCGGCATATTACAACCGCGAGCAGATCACGCAGGGGTTGACGTGGGCGACGTCGCACCTCGAGTTCGTCGGGTGTCTGGCCAAGGGCGCGGAGCTGCAGAAGAGGGTGCAGTACATGGTCAAGCTGAACCGGGAGCTCGGGGTCGGGTTTGCCAACCTGTACACCCGGCTTGGAAAGGCGGCGGGCAGCAAAGAGGTCAGTGTAGTCGGGACGGTGCTCGGCAAGGACCGCACGTTCTGCAACCTGCCCAAGAAGGGTCCTGCCGGGGTGTGGAATGAGGCAGTCAATGATATGGCTACCGACGAGACGTTGGCGCATATGAGTAAGTTGCCTGCTACCGACCGTGGAGCTGAGTACTGACGCCGCCGCAGACATGTTTGAGGCGAAGCAGAACCCTGGTTACGAGAAGCTGAAGCAGGATGCGGCGTCGCTGATCGTGCAGTGGACGACGAACGACTGGTACGAGACCAGCGAGGAGCCGAAACTGGCCATCACGGAAGCGGGAGAGAGTGCGACTGCTTGATGCACGAGAGGGTTTCTTTTTGATCTATATTATTACGAATGTTGCGCCTCCAGAGCAACGAAGGACGCGCTTTTAGATACCGGTTTTGTCTAAATCCATACCCACGTAGCCTCCAAATACCCACCTGTATTTTTTAACCTCGTCTTGCAATGCAATCACTGCGTCTTGGAGAGACCCAAGTCGTCGGCCTTCATCTGGCGCATGACCTTTCTCCTCTGCGCCATCATGTAGGTGTAGAGGATGTAGGAGCCTGCTGTGTGTCAGTTCGAGTCCTTGCATTTCTCTTGCGCAACCAACGTACCAGGAACGTAGATGGCCAGAACCATGTAGCCAATGGCCGGGAGCAACGGGTTAAGCTTTGCGTAGGGGCCGGTCGAAAGGTAGATCAGGGCGCACTCGCTGGTGATACCAATCGGGTACAGCACGAAAAAGGTGTTGTAGCGCAGCCAGACGAGGGGCTTGGGCTGGATACCGCTGAGGTTCAGGGCAAAGTATGAGTAGCGGATGACCTCGGTGACGCTCCACGCGAGGAGCATGGACGAGTACCAGGTGCTGCGAGCGAGGTGGGGGAACGGGTAGACGATGCCCCAGACGAGGACGAAGCGGCTGAGGACCTGCATCACCGTCGTGAAGACGGGGGCGCGGACGACTCCTGTACATGATTCCCGTCAGTTCTTGAAACAATTGGCTTGGGTCTTAGGGATACGCACCAAGCAGGGCGTGAAGGACCTCCATGGCGGCCAGAGTCTGCGTCCAGCGCGTCCAATCGCCGACGCCGAGGAAGACGAATTGAGGGCCGCGCATCGTGAAGAGGGCGACCGTCCTGCCGAGGACGACAGACCAGGCGACGGCCGAGACGAAGTTGTAGAAGATGAGGTACGCATTCTTCGCAGGCGAAGAGGGGCGCCTCTGGGGCTTCGTCGGGACTTGGTCGACCATGATTGCTTGCGGTTGGCAGCTGTGGTGGATTTGAGGTTTGTGTTGCGTGGTGATCGCAGGACTGCAGCTTTGGTGTTTTTGACTGCCAGCGGGATTGGAGAAGTTTGTTGAGGGAGGTTGAGCTGCAGCAAGGGTTTGGAGTTGGATCCTCTCCCATTCGCTCCCGTCCCACCCCTCCATCGGGGCCGAGGCTTCTTGGCTTCTCACCTGGGGGCCGCTGTTTCTGCAGGGCGGCCCACTGTACAAGGTACGCCGTAATGTCCGGTTTGGAGATACAGGGGTCGAGCTCGCTGCATTGTTCATCCCTTCAGAGCGCTGACAGCTGTGATTGTCTGACCACCCTGGTCATGGGGACAAATGAGTGTCAAGATGTGAGGACAGAAACAGCTGCGAGAATGTAATCGTAGACTTCGTTATCTATCAAGATACAGATGCGTTTTAAACCCCTTGCTATGCTGAAAAGCAAACCCACACACTCATTAAGACAGGACATGGAAGAACATTGCCGACATGATAAACACCGGCACCCAGAAGACCAGGGCCCTGGACTGGGCGAGCAACAGCCCAGGCGCCGTGCCGTTGTGCAACATGACGACTTGACCAAAGTCGTGCGCGGAGTCGATGCTGCAGACGACCTGGCACTGTCCATCGCCGTCGCGACGCGCCAGCTTGCCCTGGGGTCCGTGGGCGTGCTGCGAGTTGACGGCACCGCGCCTTGTGACGGTGGTGGGGGAGTCAGTGGTGTTGAAGACCAACTCGAGCCATTGCACCTGCAAGACGGCCGAATTGCCGACTTCCATCACGCCAGACCATGATCCACCATCGCTCCAGGAGTTGATCATAACACGGCTGGGATCGCGGGGAACCTGGAACTTGATGGTCGAGACCTTGTGGCCGTCAACAAGCCAGACACTCTGCTCCGAGTCCCAGTCCAGGCGGTGGATGGCCCAGTCGCGCCAAGAGACAGGCACCGTGCCGTTCTGGGTCGACTGGTCGATGGTGTTACCGCTATCGTCAAACGAGGGCTGGTTCGTGTACTGGATCCTGTTGTCGGGGTCCTTGGTCAGGACTTCGATATCGGCCTCCTGAACGTCGGCGTACTTTTCGGCTTCGCGGTAGGTGAACAAGGCCGTGCAGGCACCTGGGTCGCCGATGGTGCGGGCAAACATGCGGACCGAGACGAAGTGGTAGCCCATCGAGACAGACTCCATCTCGGCAGAGGTCTGGAAGTCCTTGAGACGCGCGGTGCGGAAGCTCATGTAGGTGTCCGACTGGGGATTGGAGTCGGTGTTCTTCTCGATATAGATGTTATTGGGAGAGTTGACCATGCTGATGGTGGCATCGTTGCCGCTCCTGCCCCTGTTGCCGCTGTTGTTCCAGCTCTGGATAGACCATATTGACGTCCATGCATCGGAGTTGAAGTAGTCTGATGTTACCGAGGCGTTGCCGCTGTCGTTGTAGCTGGTGATGATGTCAGGGACACCGGCGTACTGGCCGAGGTTGCGGAAGTCGTAGAACAGATGGTTGGTGAAGTAGCTCTCTGAGGTGTTGGTGAGGAAGCAATTGCAGACATCATCCGCCACGACAGGGTGGTCGTCAGCCACAGCCAGAGGCAGGAGGGCGAGGGCCAAGCCCAAAATAGATGACCTCGTTGACGGCATGGTTGTGTTTGTCTGTGAGAGTGAGTGGCGTGCGGCTCTGTCGGGGACGGGATGAAAGAGAGAACGCGGGGATGGGATGATTTAAAAAGAAGAGGTGCCAATCCATCGTTGTCTTGGCCTGGGATGGTGTTGCCGTAAACACATCCCCAAGCAACGGCGCACCGGAATGTGAGACGTGATCGTGCGTTGTTGTTGCCTCCAAATGTCATCGAGCCACTAGCTGGCCAGACCATCGCCCCGGCCGAACAAAAGCATAGCAGATCGAGTGACCAACAGGTAGAGAGCTACTGGGGATCGCGCGAGATCCCTACGAAAACGGCGTCGGGAGCTCCTTGGCTAGCGGCCACTTGGTCGCCATGATTTGAAAACGCTGCAGAGAGTTCAGGCTTAGCGTCAAGAGTGAGCTGTTGCAGCGGCCAGCGCGACTGGGCAATGGCGATCCCGTCGTACCCGTTAGGGACCGGGCGGGAATCTTGGAAGCGGCGGAGGGGAGAGGAACGGAGAAATGAGCCTTGACTAAGAGGAGGAGCAATTTGGCACACCAAGCCAACCTAAACGGCCGGATGCGGTGTTTGTTGCTCAGTCGCTCATTTACCCAAGGTTAGCGTCGTCTCGTGGAGCTTTCCGTGTCGCTCCAGACTCCTAGGCGGCGGGTAACAGGGACGACGGCGGCACGGGTGTCATTGAGCTATTTGTGGGTTGTAACGGGAGGCCTGCGGTGGCATTTGGAGGCTGTGCGAAAGGAGGTCATGACCGTGGACTGCAACGCTATCTCTGAAGGGCCGATGTCCTTGTTGTGATGAGAGATTGATGAGAGATGTAAATGAGAGGATCTGACGCTGCTAGCTCGCGAGAGGTCAGTGCGGTACGATGCTCGTGGCCATGTGGAGGTAGAGTGTTTTGTCCAATCAGGAGGGAGGACTTCGCCCCTGTCAACCCAATCCACGACTTACACCAGCTGCAGGGCTTAGAGCAGGCGGCGATGATGATTTCGTGAGGAGGAGTAAGGGTGGGCTTTGTTTCTAGTTGTCTTATTACAACATGAATGAATTTGAGTCTAGGGTTTTTCAAAGCTAAGCTTCCCCGAAACCTCGATTTGATCTTACATGATTGAGCACCGAAAGCCTCCAAACCCCAACCAGCCTAGAACTGTTCACTCCGTTACAAATACCTAAGTCATGAAGAAAACCACTTTTGAACTCCAAATCCCCATCAAAGTCGCCCCATATTTTGTTTATCCGCCGGGCATTGCTGCCGTCTACCATGTCTATATAGAGCTCGAAGGAGCAGCCCTCTGGCTACTCACATTTAGGAGACTATGGAGGCCTGGGCCAAAGCAGTTTGTGACGTGCCCTTGCTGTGTCCCAACGTCGCTTCTTGTCTTCCTCGCGACGTAAAGCCTCAGGTCTTCCTGTGAGAGGCAGTGCAGCAATTTTCTTGACTACCAAAGACCTCCTCACGCGCTCCTTCTTAACTGCCTCGAAATTGAACACATTTTGCGATGCGACTATGAAACTGTTAGTGATGTTCAATGTAATTGCAAGGGAATTGCTTACTATCCCGCAGGAACTCTTGCTCCAATTCGTCCAAGTCATACAATCCCTCTTCGATGACACGGACACCACAAAGCAGAGAGATGCCCTCCACCGAATCGATGTCGAAGGACGATTCAAAATGGTTGGCAAATATGTTCTGTTCAAAGAGATAATCTTTGCTCAAGATGACATCCGCAGGCAGGCCATCTAGCACGTGAAAGTCGCATCGCACAGGGCTCTCCCCAATCCTCCACGTTGCATTCTTGACAATGCCACACGTCCACGTTCTTGAACCGTCTGCAAGCTCAACTTCAGTGCGGTCATTTCTTCCGGAACTCATGGAAAGGCCATGGGATAGCACACGATCTAAAGAAACCAGCATCAGGTCGGAGCCAGTGTCTGCGAGTGCCGTCGTCACTTGATTATTGAAAGCGCCTAGAATACGTTGCCTTTCTTCGCCGAGAAGCCTCAGCCGGAATCTGGATGAACGAAAGACCTTCGTAATGCGGTGCATGGATGTTGTGAGGGTTTTGGTAGCCCTCAAGAATCGGCTCCCCAATACGAAGTCGTTGGAAGAACCCGGCAAAATCCAGCACGTCAAGCTGTGAGGTTTGGGGTCATTTGCAAACTTCCAAAGCACTTCGATCATTCCTGTGGATTCAACAGTCTTCTGATTTGCGAGAGTGATCGTCTTTTCCGTGCCAGCTGCCGGTTTCTGACCCAGCTTGGAAGCGAAATGGGATGATATGATGCACTCATCCGAGCCAGTATCGGGTGAGGCTTCTGTGCGTATCCCGTTGACGGTTCCTTCGACCACATAATCTGTAGAACTTGATGAGAAATGGCCTTTCCTTAGCCGCTTCGCCGGCGGTTTCGTCGGTCGTGGTGACGGGTCCAACATGGCGCGTGCAGCTTCAACTTCTAGAGGGAGTGCGCAAATCCAGCCAATTTGATATTGACCATTCTTGGCCGATGCCGACTCGGCATTCTTTCCTTGGCCTTCTGGGGGTATTTCGTCATTGTCGGCGGTCCGCAGGTGTACGCTGTAGGCCTGTGATTCCATTGTGTCTGAGCTGGTAATAAGGGCGCGAATCTTCTCATCCCGACGTGCTTGCTCTTGGGTTCACAATAAAATACACATATCAACAGAGTAGGTAGGGTTCGAATGTAGGCATGATGCCATAAGACATTCTCCAACAAAGAAAAGGATGACTGGGCGGGAAGTTTCGCTAGTTGAAGGAATATGCGGGGAGTATCGAGAAGATTTCAGCAGTGACACGTCGAGCAGTTATATAATTTCTCTCGGCAAATCAGGCGCTCCATGAATTATATGTCAGGCAGACTCGCTGCCAGTTTCGCATGACCAGCCGTCCAATGAACGTTCTCGCAGAACGTCCTGATGCATCAAAGCCTCAAGAAGTGCACTTTCGAATGCCACGTCAGCAAGTCGGTGTGACAGTGATGCAAAGATAAGGTGTGATTGGCGGCTTCAGCTCGTGTTAGGCAGAAGGCAGGATGGTCACTGCTAGCCGATGGGTTCAGATGTATAAGTGGTTGTTCTCCTGCGCTTCAAATGTTAAATCTCTCGACACCCAGGTACACCCGAAGATCGTTTGGCGAGGTACCTGGTTCAGGGCAACTTATCATTTCAAATGGAAACTTTTGTCGACATGTGTGTGGTTCTTGTTCACAAGAAGGAGCTGACGTGGTCGACGATTTTCAAAGTCACCACTATCTTTTAACTATCTGCAATCTAAGCCAGTGCTATGGCAAACTTAAAGATTGGGTACGCCGAAGCTGCGAATTGGATGGCACGAGACGTAGACAATGAAACATTGATCTATCGCCGATTCGATGAGCTGGCTACCCGGAATTTGCTGTATCTTCAGTCCGAGATGCTGAGTATTGAACACCAGCTTAGCGAGCTTGATAAAGAAGATGCGGAAGACGAAGACATGGACTGGCAGATGGTAGTATGCGATTGGGAAAAGTTAGGCGACCTCGTATATTCATCACAAGCTAGTACGGCAAGCAACATACAGACGTCAAAAGCAAAAACACGCGCGGATTTGATCAAGAAGTTACGTCAAAAATTGGAAGAATACTGTGAGCCAATACCGCTAACCTGTCCTGGATCTTGCCGGTAAACTTATATTTACCTAGACAGAGCTTTACTTCGCCAGAGCGAGATCGCAAAGCTGAAAAGACCAAATAATCGTGTCCTTGGTGCCTTCAAAGCATGGTTCACGGGAGTAAGTGAACTCAGCGGAAGAGAAACGGAAATTCTCAATAACGACGGTGACCTTGTCGCCCTAAATCCCGCTCAAGAAACAGACTTTTTGTTAGAATATCTCAGAAGGAAATGGCCCATAAAGGTGAGTGTAGACGTACCGACGTAGGGACGATTGACTTACACATTTCCAGGCAGACGCTAGAGAGAACGGAGTCAGGATAGGAAGATACGAGGAGCATTCAATATCAATCGCAGTCGCGGTCATCAGCACCCTCATCGCAGCCATTCTCCTGATAGGATCAATAACAGGGCTCTATTTCGTTAAAAACGACGCTGCCAAGCTCGGTCTCATCGCATTCTTCACGTCCCTATTCGCCCTCAGCGTTGGAGTAATGACGAATGCGCGGAGGGCCGAGATATTTGCTGGAACAGCAGCGTAAGTCACGTCTCATCACCACGTGAGATATCAAACTGACGTCCCTTTAGATACGCCGCGGTGTTAGTAGTTTTCGTGAGTGGTGACCTCTCGAGTTCGCAAGGGTCATGAAAAGGGGTGAATCTCCGGCCTGCCTCGAAGCCTAGCAAAATAAAAAGCAGACAAGGTCAATAAATCAAAAAGAATTCCCACTACGAGATTCGAACTCGTGTCCCCGCGGTGAAAGCGCGATATGCTAAACCTCTGCACCAAATGGGAGGTTCTATTCATTGTTGAAAGGAGCAAGAGGAACGACAGTAATGGAGCTCTCTGGAGGCGGGACGTGCAATCAGACCAGAGAGGTTGCGGTGAATTCGTTTTCATTCGTTTGCTTCCTGTCATGGATGCCTAGCCGGGCTGCACTTGCCCGAGACACCCTCACGTAACCCCCACAGTGAACTCCTCTAGCAGCGTCAACTCGTTAAACTCCTCAATGAGCCTGTCCACCCTCGCCGCTTCCCGATCCCTCACGGCCAGGTTGAGATCCGTGACGAACAACCCTGTCGGGGCTACCGACTGTCCGCTGCTCTTCTGGCTGTCCGTCGCTCGAAACTCTTGCCATATCGCATACCCCTCCGCGGCATTCAGCGTCCCCTTCTTGACCGCCATGCCCAGCAGGCCCTGCGCAATCACTCCGGCGACGGCGAAGGAACGGTAGAGACCCAGGTAAGCATAGATGCATTTGAAAAAGTAGTGGCGTCCGTCGGGATCGCTTGCGTCGTTTGCCGCGGCGTTTGCCACGTGCATGAGGGCTATG